TTGAGACAGGGTTTCTCTGTAGCCCTGGCTGTCCTGGAACTCACTCTGTAGACCAGGCTGGCCTCCAACTCAGAAATCCCCCTGCCTCTGCCTCCCAAGTGCTGGGACTAAAGGTGTCACCACTGCCTGGCCTTTTTTTTTTTTTTTTCATTTTAAAGAAGCTTCTTTTTTAGCTTAAAAGGCTTGCTAGGTTTCACTGTGACAGCATCTGACACCGTGAGGAAAACATGTGAGTTGAAGCCAAACAGCAAAAGCTGAAGAACCCAAGGCCGGTCTGCTGCCATCAGGTACTTCAGGGACCAGAGACACAGTGAGGAACCCTGCCACACACTCACATGCTGTGTGTGGTACCTGCTCCCCCACAGGCAGGGTTGCTGCTGCTTCACAAGGAACAAAGCAAAGGATAAAGATCTGGGGCAAAATAAATGAAAAATATCACATACACACACACACACACACACACACACACACACACACTTTAGTCAGAATAGTGCTTGCTTACTTTATGAATATGATAGCATTCATAAAGAAGCCCAGTGGCCTAATTATTACAGAATTCCAACAGAGTGTGGAGACTGGATGCTGTGTACCAGCTGAACACCAAAGTGCCAGGCTCTGCCATCAGGCAAGCATCTATGTCAGACACACTCTCTGTGTCTGATAGTCCCACTGTGCCTTCCTCAGTGGCTCCCAAGCCCCTCAGTTTGCTTGGAAAAGACTTTTAAATATGTAAGTGTGTGGGTGGGTGGGGTGGGGGAATTAAAATATAGGGAATCTGGCACCTGGACTAGGGAAAGGCTGAGTCCACCACCGTGCACAGAAGCTCACTTGGAACGGCTTTTGGAGGAGAGAAAAAATTATTTTTCTGGTATGTTTAACTAAACCCTCTATTTTTTTATTTCCCTTAATTATTGTAAAATAAGATATAAATTCAACAAGGTTCCTAAAGTACCCAAGTCCTGTACGTGGGTGGGTATATGGTCATCTCCCCCCGGCACTTGGCCTCTGTCTCTGAGATGCAGACACCAAGGGAACTGGAGGAATGGATGGGGAAGAGGAAGTGTTCTGACGTCATCTCAGAACCTTACACAGGTGTGCACAGAAGTGAAACTCTGTCCAGAACTTGAAGCAGGAGGATCACAATGAGTCCAGCCTGGGCTACACATGGAGCTTCTCAACCTCAACCGCACTCACCACACCCTGTGAGCAAGGAAGGAAGTATAATAAAGACAGGCGGCTGGGGTCTCCATTGCCAGATGAGAAGCCCAGCGGAACACACACTAAGTCTGCTCAGAGAAGCCACAGCGTGGGGCTGAGAATGGAAGGCTTCTGGGGCAGAAGTGAGAAGGTCTGTGGCTGTAAGGATGAACTCTCTCCCGTGTAACCTGTCTTCCAGGCACCTGAAACCTTTCCTTAGTTAAAGGTCACAGAGTATTTTAGATCCGTGGACAAGAAAGCCTCTGTCACATCTTCACCAATACATGCTCATGGGGTGTCGATGAGGGTATGGCTGTGCTGGAGTGCTGGTGTGGCAAGCTCAAGGCCTTGGACTGTGGCCCAAGCACCACATGAAGAACGAACGCATGCATGCATGCTCATGTATGCGTACACCCACAGAAAGATAACAGCAGACCCAACAACTACTTGTACTCATAAGCAGGGTGGTGGGGTGGCTTTCCTCCTGACTACTAGATGGATATTCTGCCTGCTGATCACGCTGATCCTCATGGTAAAGCCCCCCTTACCTGGTGTTCAGGAGGCCAGCAGCCCCTTAGCCACTCACCCCAAGCTGAAGCGCTGACCCGGGAGTAGAATGTTTTCCCATCAGACTTCTTACGTAAGAATGGTGTCAAGTGTTAGCAGATAAAGGACTGTAGCATGCCAAAGAAAGGTCTGTGTGAGGGTACACGTGTAACCCCAGCAACTGGGAGGCTGAGGTTCAAGAATAACCAATCCCAGGCCAGCCTGGTCACATAGTGAGAGCCTGTCTCAAAAACAATAGCTGGTCCCTACAGGAAGCACTTGCAGCTAGGGAAACATACGTGTATAGAAACAAGGGAAAGTCCCTGGAATTCATTCAACATGGAGGATGAACCTGAGGTGATCTGGAATGGGGCACAAGGGGACAAAGAGGTGAGAATCCATGGCAACTTATCAAAGGGGGAGGACTTTGGATAGGAACGCCAGGAACAGTGACAGAATTATCACTGTAGAGCTAGAAGGCCAAAACCAAAAGGAAAACTTCAGACCCACAGTCACAGCTTCAGTGAGCCTTTCTTAGTTCTCCAGAACTGTCTCCCCCTCCTCCTGACTCCTCCCCCTCTGACTCTTCCCCTCTGGCCCCTCCCCCTCTGACTCCTCCCCCATCAGTCTCATGTCCCTCATCTGCATTTCCACTCATTTAACAGCCATAACGGAGTCTTGCTTAGTTACTGTCCACCAGATTCACCTCTGGCCTCTCCTGATTTAGCCACCACCACTTCTCATACCGAGAGCAGAGGCCAGTCTGTGAGCTCACTAAGTACCCCGGGCGTTAAAACCTATAGGAAAGCACACAGCATCCAGGACTCACAGGAAACTTTCAACTTTGCTAGGACAGAAGCATGCAGAATGGAGGAGAGGAGGGAGATGCTATGGGAGAGGGCAGAGGAAAGGGAAAGAGAAAAGCAGACCTGTCAGCTCTCCTCCTGACAGTGTCCTTGCTGGCCTTAGACTCACAGCAATCCTCCTGTCTCAGCCTACACAAGGGCTGGGATCTACCTACCTTCCTTCCTTTCTTTCTTTCTTTCTTTCTTTCTTTCTTTCTTTCTTTCTTTCTTTCTTTCTTTCTTTCTTTCTTTCTTTCTTTCGGACTTAGGTGTTCTACCTGCATGTATATACCAGTGCCTCGTGTCTGCAGAGAGACCATAAGATCCCCTGGAGCTGGAGTTATAAGAGGCTACAAGCCACCATGAGGATGCTGGGGACCGAACCCAGGCCTTCTGCCAGAGCAATACAGGCTCTTAACCACTGAGCCATCTCCTTAGACCCTCTGAACTATTCCTTGAGATCAAGTCCCTTGGCTGGCAGGGGACTTCATACGTAGAGTAGGCTGGCCTAGAACTTGCAGCCATCTTCCTGTCTCTGTCCCAAGTACTGGGATTACAGGTTCCAAGAGTGTCACCATGCCCAGGGGTCCTTCTTACCTACCAGAATTTTAAATTGTGTCTAGGATCATTTTAGTCTGTGACACTCTAGGTAGGTGAGGTGATGCCATCACTTACATGAGGAAGGCTATAGTTGCTATGACACCGCAGGCATGGTATGAGTGGTTGAATTGCTCCATCTTGGGGTACATTACAGCTGCATCTATGATGATCCACCATCCTGTGAAAAACTAAAAACAGACAGACAAAATAGGGTGACATCAGTGAGACCCAACGGCAGTAGCACAGGTCTGACTACAGGGTATTTGAACCAAGGAACTCCTTCAAATGAATTTTCAAATTCTCCTCCTCCCAGGCCCCACCCCCCTACGCCTGCCTGCCCCAAGTTGTCCCAGCAGTTTCACACTTGCAATTTGCAAGTGGTTCACTAGCTGATTAAATATCAGGTACCCAGGGCTGGAGAGATGGCTCAGCAGTTCAGAGCACTGACTGCTCTTCCAAAGGACCTGGGTTCAGTTCCCAGCACCTCCATGCTGACAGCCATCTGTAAGTTCAGTCCTACGGGATCCCACACCTTCCTCCGTGGGCACCTGCATGCTCATGGTGTATAGTCATACAGGCAGGCAAAACATCCATGCACGTAACAACAAATGAACATTTAAAAAAATATGTATTAGTACCCTAAACCTGCTCCCACTGGTACAGACTTTACAAACCTAGAAGTTCTGACACCTCACGGAGAAGGAGAAAGTGGAATCCAGGGGGATTGTTCACGCCTGTCACCTACTGTGGTCTCAGGACTCAAGTGTGACTGCACTGAGTTCAAGGTCAACCTCAAATCCCAGCTGACGGAGGGAACGCCCTGCTGAAGTTCTCTGATGGCGCTAATGTGGGGTCTGGTAGCATGGGTCCTGGGAAGAGCACTTACCACCAGAAGAATCTTAACTATGGCTCAATCTTAATCTTGGCGTTATGAAACAATATGTCTGCAATTCTTATTCCTTTTGATAACTACAGTATGGCCATTTGATGGTTTTGGATATGATTTTTTTAAAAAATTTGCTTAATTTTATTTTATGTGCACTAGTGTGACAGTGTCAGATCCCCTGGAACTAGAGTTACAGACAGGTGTGAGCTGCCATGTGGGTGCTGGGAATTGAACCTGGGTCCTCGGGAAGAGCAGCACCCTTACCCGCTGAGCCATCTCTCCAGCCCCTCTGATATATCATTTTTAAGAATAATTGGAACACAAAATTATATATTACCTAAATAAATTTTCTTCTGGTTATTAACTGAAGGAAATATATATAGGATAGAAATATTAAAACTCTGCATTAAAAAATAACTCAGGCCGGGCAGTGGTGGCACACGCCTTTAATCCCAGCACTTGGGAGGCAGAGGCAGGCAGATTTCTGAGTTTGAGGCCAGCCTCGTCTACAGAGTGAGTTCCAAGACAGCCAGGGGTGCACAGAGAAACCCTGTCTCGAAAAAAAAAAAAAAAAAATTCGGCCAAACAGGAATCTGCAGGCTGGCATCACCTCCTGAGAGCGCTGGATGTAGCGTGATGGCTAAGCACTGTCTCTGTGTGCAGCCCTTGCTTCCATCCGCAGCACCACACACAGGAAGTCATTAAGCAAATCCTGACCTGTAGCTTACAAGGATATGAAAGGAGCCCCTTTCCCACCGTCACCGCTAAGGAGCCAGTTAATTTAAACCATCAAATCGTCTTTACCAGGTTACAGACAGATTCACATGCTTATTAAAGATGCTTTGATTGCCTAGTACAAGTAGTAGCCTGGGTCCCTCCTTTAGTATGCTCAAGATTTTTTTATATATTTATTTATACTGTGAGTACACTGTGGCTGGCTTCAGACACACCAGAAGAGGGTATTGGATCCCATTGCAGATGGTTGTGATCCACCATGTGGGTGCTGGGAATTGAACTCAGGACCTCTGAAAGAGCAGTCGGTGCTCTTAACCACTGACCCATCTCTCCAATCCTTATTCAAGATTTTTTTTTTTCGGTTTTCTCTGCGTAGACAGGGTTTCTCTGTGTAGTCCTGGCTGTCCTGGAACTCACTCTGTAGACCAGGCTGGCCTCGAACTCAGAAATCCGCCTGCCTCTGCGTCCTAAGTGCTGGGAATAAAGGCTTGTGCCACCACTGCCCGGCCTTATTCAAGATTTTAAAAAAATTAATTTATCTTACATTACATTATGTGTCTGAATGTTTTGCCTACATGTGTGTCTATCTGTGTATCATGGTTGTGCCTGGTGTCCATGGAGTTCAGGAGAGGACATCAGAACCAGGGAAACTGGATTACAGAGGGTGCGATCCACCAGGTGGGTGCAGGAACTGCACTTGGGTCCTCTGCAAGAGCAACAAATGTTCCTAACCCCTGAGCCATCACTCCAGCCCCGAATTTAAGATATTTTATTCGAAGACTAAAAATTAAAGCTTTTCAAAGCATTGGAGTTTCTAAGGTGATATCAAATTTTGTCCTGTCTTTGAAAAAAAAAATGGTAATTTTCTAAAAATATGATAAAAATTGGAGCTGGAGAAGGCACAGTGGTTAAGACCTCTAGAACCTAGAGGTTCTCCTCTAGAAGACCCAGGTTCAGTTCTCAGCAACTACACACAACTCACAACTCGGGATCTGACACCCTCACACAGACACACTAATTATTAAAAAAATAATAATAAATATCAAAGATGAGGTACAGAAAAGATATTTAAATTTGAGTTTCCAGTCGTTCATTTACTTAAAATTTCTTCCTTCCAGGCTGGGGTTCAGTGACAGAGAACTTGCCTACTCTGTGTGAAGTCCTGGGTTCAGTGTCTAGTAAAAGTATTTCTCTTTAGAATAGGCAGCAGGGGCTGGCAAGATGGCTCAGTGACTAAGAGCACAGTCTGCTTCTTCCAAAGGACCCAGGTTCAATTCCCAGCACCCACATGGCAGCTGACAACTGTCTGTAACTCCAGTTCCAAGGGATCCGACACCCTCACATCAATGCACATAAAATAAAATAAAACAAAACAAAGACAAGAGAACAGGCAGCAGGTAAGATTGTAAACCAAACGTCCCATTGGAAAGTGTGACGTAAATAGCTTTATGTTGCAAATTGCCCGTGAGCATTTTTTTTTTTTTTACATAAAAAGGTGGCACACACTGTAACCTCAGCACTTGGGAAGTAGAGGCAGGATGATGAAGAGCTCAAGGGTGTTCTTGGCTATATGAGCGAGTGAAGCCGTCGTGACCTACAGAAGACTCAGCCAAAAAAAGTGAGCTTAGTATCGTTCCCCTACGATACTAAGGGGAACGTGAACTCTGGATAACCTGAGAAATGGGAATATCTGTCTTGACTGGTTTAGACCTGATTGTCTCTTTAACCCTTTCTTCCTTTTTTGAAGACAAGGTCTCACTATTTGCCCTGGCTGTCCTGGAACTCACTCTGTAGACCAGGCTGGCCTCAAACTCACAGAGATCTGCCTCCTTTGCCTCTAGAGTGCTGGGATCAAAGGTGTGTGACACACCTGGCCCTCTTCAACCCTTTAAAACTTCTGTACTCATGGTGTCAAGGAGGCGTAACCAATACAATAAGTGAATGCATGCAAAATGTTTCATTATGACAGCTACAAACACTACTAAACTCATAAGGAAAACATCACTAAGTAAGTTTGGTTATTGATTATTTCAATTATTTTTTTAAAAGGACACATGTGAAAACATCACACACAACCTAAACCGTCTATACAGCACGGAGGGCCAAGATGTCACAGGGACTTACTAGAATGCCAGCAGCAATGGAGGCAACCGTGTTCCGCTTCTCCCCCCAGTCCATACATTCTGAGCACCTTGAGCCTTCTAAAAATCCAGACATCTTCTCAGGTCACTGAAACAAAACCAAAACAGTTAAATAAGGTACTTCAGTTTTCTTGTTTCAAAGCCAGCAGTGTTTCTGCAAAATAACAGCTGGATGATAACCTAATACAAGTTACAAATACTCTTTTATTTCTTCAGAATTTCTGATGCTGCTTTGGTGGGAGTGAGGTACTGGGGATGGAGCCTACATACTTTTAAGCAGGCTGAGGCAGGAGGGCTTGCTCAGTCAGAGGTCCAGCCAGAGCTACTGGTTTGAGGCCAGTATGTCTTAAAAGACAAAACAAGGGACAGGTGAGATAGCTCAGCAGTTAAAAGCACTGACTGTTCTTCCAGAGGTCCTGAGTTCAATTCCCAGCAAGCACATGGTGGCTCACAACCATCTATAAGGGGATCTGATGCCCTCTTCTGGCGTGCAGGTGTATACGCAGCAGAGCACTCATCATTAAATAAATAAAAATTTAAAAAAGACAAGAGAAAAATGATAAAAATAAGGAAACAAAATTAGGATGGTTTTAGCGTATTTACATAGTATGAATGGAGGTGATTACCCCAATGCTAACAAAATGAACCGCGATCCTCAAAGACGTCACATTTTATTATCGCCAGTCCACTATTAATTTAAGGAGCCCTTTAAGTGAGCGCAACGCTACTCAGCTGTCCACAGCTGTGTTCTAAAACTTAAGCTCCGTACTAAGGTTCCTATTTGATTTTGCTAAATAAAGATGTGATAAACTTTGGTTTTAAGTTAAAAACATAAACTTGGATGAAAAATATTTCCCTTAGGAATTTACACATTTTACCCTGCATATGTGTTTTGTCATGCCCAGATTACGAGAAGAACCGCTGAACTGCGGGCTTCCTTCCGACTTCATTTCTTCCACATTACTTGTCCCTTCTCCGAGCCTGCCTTCGGATGTCATTACTATGAAAAGGGCACCCCCATCTTATTTTATTTACTGTCTCTAACTCTGCTACTGATGCTGTTTCAACATCCCCCCAAAACAGTGCAGGCCTGAAATTAATTCAGACTTAAAGAACATACTGTCAAATTACCACGGCTAGCAGCAATTGTCATAAAACCCTCCTCCTTCAAGCTCAACTCTGCAGACTCAGCCCGAGAGACATCACGCATCGTTTACTTCACAGATAATGGGAAAACCTGAACTATATACAACTCACTCACGGTGAACACCCCAGATCTCACATGACTCCCTAAGGAACGCGACTTCAGTTATAGCCGCCGCTAAACAAGCTAAAGGGAAAAACTAATATACTTTTGTGATGAGTTCCGGTCTGAAGATACATTCGTTTTTATCTAATGATTCGAAAGAAAAGCAACCCACTGTGTGTAATTGTCGGTTCACCCAATGGCCCCACCCGAGTCCATTTTTCGCTGCACAATTGACATGTTCAAAGGCAGACCAGCCCTGCAGACTGGAGGAACAGGGCGCGGTCACGCGTGGGCTGACCCCGATGTTCCGCGTCCCGGATGAGCGTGCCCAGCTCCGCAGGTCTGGGGAACAGTCCCCGCCACAGGAAGCGGCCCCGCAGGTCGCGCGATCTCAGCCCCGGCGGAGGCGGCGTCCAGGAGCTGGGTCACCGCCAAAGCCGCGAGTTCGAGCCCGGCCCGCTGCTCCGCCCTCCCGTCCGCACTCACGTTCAAGTCAAGAGTTGGGAGCCGCGGCGGGTTTTGTAGCCTCGGTTTACTCCAGTTCTGCAAGAAAACAAAACAGCCACAGGCTATCAGACTCCCGGATGTCGATACGCCGGTCCGCCTCCGAGTCAGTGCGCATGCGGATTCAGAGCGAAGGGCGGATCTCGAGGGTGGGCCACGCCCACCGCGCCGGCAAGTCTGCGGGCACCCGGACTCCTTTTTCTAGTCCCTCTTGTCACTGTGAGAAATACTAGGGTTGAGACTATCTTCTGGGATGAAACCGAGGAAGGGAGGCAACAGCCCACCTTTACTATTTGTTTTTGTTATTGTTGTTAGACTTTTTAAAAATTTTTATTGTCATTGTGTAGAGGTCAGACAAGTCAACTCCAGGAGTCAGTTCTTTCCACCATATGGGTCCCAGGAATCAAACTGAGGTTATTTGACTTAGCAGCAAGTACCTGCTTTACCTGCTGAGCCATTTTTCCAGCTCGGTGACTAATAGGTCTGGGATTGGTCCTGCTGTAATCTCAGGTCCATGTGGGTGGCAGGTAGTCAGGAGCCAGTGGCACAGAAAGTGGGTGGGTGGCTCACTGCAGAGCTAGGCACTAGGGATCATCTCTCCAGTCCCCTGTGTGGTCCTTTGCTGCATTAAATCTATGTAGCTTTTGTTGAGAGGGGGACTTAACTGATAGTATTTTAAACTATATAATACCCACCCCCACTTCCTGCACTTGCACATGCACAATGCTGTACCTGAACCCAGGGCTCTACTAGTCATCCCTGGTTCTAGACCCATAACCTATTTAATTTTTAAATTTTTTATATGATGAGCATTTTGCATGAATGTACATCTGTGCACCACTGTGCATGGTGCTGGCAGAGTTCAGAAGAGGTGCCTGGAACTGGAATTACAGACGTTGTGAGCTACCGTGTGGGTGTTGAGAACTGAACCTGAGTCGTTGGAGAAGACAGCCGGCGCTCTGAATCACTCAGCCATCTTTACAGCCCTTCCATGACCTATTTTTAAGTGGACACATTTCTTAGCCCTAGAGATTAAAGGTTTATTGTGACTGGCTAAAGACTGGTTAATTTCTCAAGGCAGGAGAGTCAAGGTCAGGCAGCCCCACCTCCCAACCCAGTGTGTGTGTGTGTGTGTGTGTGTTTTTCGAGACAGAGTTTCTCTGTATATCTCTGGCTGTCCTGGAACTCACTCTGTAGAGGAGACTAGCCTTGAACTCAGAAATCCACCTGCCTCTGCCTCCCAAGTGCTGGGACTAAAGGCGTGAGCCACCACTGCCCGGCAGGTATCTATTTCTTTAATTCTGTCTATGTCGTGGCTGAGTATGTTACTATTCTGGTTCTCCCCATGCTAAGTTGACATTCTACCACTGAGCCATATCTCCAGGTTCAAAGACAGATCTTTTTTTTTGTTTTGTTTTGCTTTTTTTTTTTTTTTTCAAACATGGTTTCTTTGTGTAGCCTTGGTTTTCCTGGAACTTGTTCTGTAGGCCAGGCTGGCTGGCCTTGAACTCAGAGATCTGCCTGCCTCTGCTTCTCAAGGGCCAGGATTAAAGGTAAACATCATCACCACCTCCAGGCCCAAAGGCAAAGAAAACTTTTGAATATCTATTAATATTTTTAACCTGCTCTTACTAAAGCTTCTACGAAGCCAAGTTCTATAATGGAACCCTGTTGGAGGTCTGCTGGAGCAATTGGGTTCCGGCTGGGCAGAGCTCAGGGCCAGGTGAACCCTCCAGGACACTGGAGGTGCAGGCAGGGCATGGTCCACATGGACAAACAGCCAGAGCTGCTGCTTCTTTGTGCTGTCTTTACTTTACTGGCTGTATTAGTTAACTCTGCTGTTTTTATGATAAAATATCATGCTCAAAGCAACTTACAGGAGGTTATTTGGATTACAGTCTTCGAGGGGAGAGTCCATGATGGGGCCGGGGATGTGCCTTGAACAGGAAGCTAGGGGCTTACAGCTTCAATTCCAAGCATGAGGCAGAGCTGGAGAATTTGGAATTGGGCAAGGGTTTGTAATCTCATGCCCTACCCCGAGTCACATACTTCCTACAAGGCTGCACCACCTAAGCCTCCCGAAGCAGTGCCACCATCTGGGAACCAAATATCCAAGATGATGAGGACATGTCTCATTCTGTTATGCAAACCAATGGAACTGAATGGGTTTAGTCCCTGTGCATGGCATTCCATGAGACTACGGAGGAAGCTTTGATCTGCAGCGCCCAAAAAGAGAGCTGCACCTAGGACAACCATCCTACAAGACTGGCAAGCTGGGCAGTGGTGGTGCACGCCTTTAATCCCAGCACTTGGGAGGCAGAGGCAGGCGGATTTCTGAGTTCGAGGCCAGCCTGGTCTACAGAGTGAGTTCCAGGACAGCCAGGGCTACACAGAGAAACCCTGTCTTGAAAAACTAAAAAAAAAAAAAAAAAAAAAAAAGGACTGGCAAGCTGGACAAAGGTCACATTCCAATAACTTGTTCAGGGTCAAATTATTCTGGGCTAAATAGCCCTCCTACATAGCCACTTACTGCCTATCTCTATGTCTGAGTAGCATTCTTGTGACAAGCAGTTAAATCCTCTTTGGAATATACAAACACTAGTCTCAGCTCCCCTGTGGTTGAGGTAGCCTATTAGACTTGCCAGTCATCCATGTGATTCTGTCATGCATCTGTCTGCCTGTTTGTCCATCTGGACCAGGTCCTGCCCTTCACCTCCACTGCCCTGGTGTCAATAGCCCTGCACCTTGACTTTCGAGCTCCGCCTGGCCCTGAGCTTCAGCAGACCTCCAACAGGGCTTCATTATCTTATTCTCACAGAGGTGTTCTCCGCCCCATTATCACCCTTCCGCTTGTCTCTTCATCAGCGGCTCTTAGTCTTAGACTTGACTCGGCTATGACCTCCTTAACTCTCTGTGGGCATTCCGTAACCTACATATAGATATATATATATTTATTGCGATCTGTGTGTTGTCTGATTGAGAGTTAATATTAGTAGTTAAGATTGGCATGAAGGCCAGGCAGTGGTGGGACATATCTTTAAAATCCGCACTTGAGAGCTAGAGGCAGGAGGATCTCAGTGAGTTCAAGGCCAGCTTGGTTTATAGAACAAGTTCCAGGACAGCCAGGGATACACAAAAAGAAACCCTGTGTCAAAAAATAAGAATAGGGTTGGAGAGATGGATCAGTGGTTGGGAGCACTGACTCTTCTTCCTGAGGTTCTGAGTTCAAATCCCAGCAACCACATGGTGGCTCACAAGCATCAGTAATGGGATCTGATGCCCTCTTCTGGTGTGTCTGAAGACAGCAACAGTGTAGTCATATACATAAATAAATATTTAAAAAATAAAAAAATGGGGGCTGGAGAGATGGCTCAGTGGTTAAGAGCACTAATTGCTCTTTCAGAGGTTCTGAGTTCAATTCCCAGCAACCACATGGTGGCTGACATCCATCTATACTGAGATCCAATGCTCTCTTCTGGTGAGTACTCACATACATAAAGGAAATAAACCTTTAAACAAGAAAAAAGAAAGAAAAAATAATTGGCATGAAGGAGCCTGTGTTTAGGGCTGGAGAGATGGCTCAGTTGGTCCTTGACAAATTGCTGCCAATGAAACTCACACAGCTTCTGAATTTGCTAGTATTCAACAAGTTCTGAAAAACTGGAAAGGTATAATGTGTTCATTTCTGCTTCTGACATAGTGCACTTATGACTGCCAGTGTGCTGATGTGAGATCAGCCTGGACTTGCCATCCCTTTCAGAATAGCCTGTGCTTTTGTTGTAGGTTATTTGCTCACACTGTGAACCCTGAGATTGTGTTATTTACTCCAGCAACATGTCCTTAGGTGTGATGTGGCTCACCCTTAGCACACGCCTTTAATCCAAGACTTTTCTGACTGACTACTGTAAACAGGATTAAATAAAGTCAACCTTAGGTCAAAAGGCAGAGCAAGCAACCAGTTGGCAGGAAGTGAACATAGGATTCTTAAGAAAACAAAACTGCAGAGAGTAAGTCGGAGCCAGGGGCCAGCCGAGGATTGCACACAGGAAGTATCTGGGAAGGACACCGAGTTTGAAAGAAACTTTTTGGGTGAGAGAGGAGATTCATTCTGTGAAATGCAGAGAAGGAAGGCTAGCTGTGTGTTTCTCTGCCTCTCTGAGCAAGCAGGCTTTCACCCCAGCCAGCATCTGGCTCCTGATCTTCATGGGTAAAGTCAAACGATTGAGATTATGTTAAAAACAACTTCAGTTTTGGCCCCCATTTTGGCCTTAGTAAAGACAGGGTAGTGCTCCTTCCTTCTTTGGTCTGTCACATCCTTTTCCAGAGCACCTAGCACTTAGTCTCTTACACTGAAATCTATGTTAAATTCCCTTTTTAAAGCTCCACCTCCCCTTCCAATTGGCTCCTCCAGAAGCTCTTTCCTATGGTGAAGTCAAGGATCCTGTGTGGAGGTTGATGAATAGATCTCATCAGTCTGGCTCCCCTCTGGCTCCTGATGCCCTGGGATGGAAACACATGCAGCTCTTAGTCCGTCAGTTATATCAGAAACACAGACACCAGCATTCTGTAGGTCCTGTTTCCCACTGTTTCAAGATTGACATCCAGAATTCTTCTAATAATTCCTTTGTTTGAGATATAGTCTAATGGCACCCGGGCTGTCTTTGAGCTATGACCTTGAATTTCTTTTTTTCTTTTTTTTTTCCGAGACAGGGTTTCTCTGTGTAGCCCTGGCTGTCCTGGAACTCACTCTGTAGACCAGGCTGGCCTCGAACTCAGAAATCCGCCTGCCTCTGCCTCCCAAGTGCTGGGACTAAAGGCGTGCACCACCACTGCCCGGCGACCTTGAATTTCTGATTCTTCTATTTTCACCTGCTAAGAGCTGGGATTATGGGTGTCTGCCATCATTCCTGGGAGAACTGGTCACCATTTTTTTTTTTTCAGGCACACATGAGAGATACTATGAACTGTCTGGAAAGACTCCTACAGCCTCTTCTACTCATAAACAGAAGCCTAGGACTGCATCATGAGCAGGTTCACTAACTGTCTTTAAAACACTACTTCCCCATTTGTAAATGGTGAAACTTGGGGTTCTCTATGC